CTTCTCACCTTGGCGGGGAGGGCCGTGTGAGAGGCCGCCCAGTGAAACCTGCTGATGCTTTATAGCATCGTCTGCTTCTAACCTTGGCAGGAATGGTGGTGTCAGAGTCCGCTCGGGGGCGAGAGCTGCTGATGCCTTATGGCGCCACCTGCTTCTCACGTCAGGAAGGGTAGTGTGGGAGGCCGCCTGGTGAGTTTTTATATCCATATATTCATTAATACGACATGCCATCAGCTATGGACATGTTCAGTCCAGACATATTTAATGTTATCCTGCTTGCTTCTGCGAAGGCACATCTAATCTTGCTGACAACGGCGAAAATTACCTCGTCTATTTTGTAGGACAGGTGTTATTCGTCCCTACGGGCGAAGCTAATGGGAGAGCTGATGGACCTGGTTAGTTGGTTTCTTTAAAAAAAACTCGCGGCTTGCATCAAAGAGAAATCTTGTACCTTCTTTCATCTCGGGACATTAAAGCCTTCCCGATGCTTCCTGATTGTTCTGACATCCCCTGATGTGCGGTAAAGCAATCCCGTGGAAGCCATCTCTTCCGTTTACTTGTGTGCACGGTGTGAAAGTTTATTCGCGGTCCGTATGCCCCGATCAGCTATGAGTGAAACCTATTATTTAATCTGATGACTGCCAACGATGCTCCATTACCTGCGATTCGTTGAGTGATGTAAATTATTGGAACCATGACCAGTTAGCCATTGGGTATTTTTCCATTGTGTTGTCAAGTTTCAAGTCGGCGCAGTTTCGCGAAGTGAGTTGGGACTCAGCGGATCAAAAATGACAAAACATCACCCAAAATACAATAGCTATATTTATCTTCCTATTACGCGCACTTTTCAATTAGGTGTTGAAGCCCCCACCCCTCCCAACTGAGTAGGAAATTACACCCTTGGTGTTTGTATCGTATTTCCTCACGCAGCCCCCGCGTACAATATTTTTCTCCCTTCATAAGCAGCTGGTCACCTTTCCGCCCAATCAAGGTACTACTTGCATGTGGGATGCATGCCGGGCACATACTTCGAGAGGCATGTGTGGGGGTACAACGCACACACGCTCCGATCGGCGACCAGGATCCCACTGAAGCTGTGCTCACATCTCTTCTATAAGACGCAACCTGCGTCAATAGCTCGCTTGGCCCAGCAGCGCTGTCCATAGCAGATGGTAGCGCAACGGACGAGGTGCCGCGCGCTGGTACGTCTCCCCTAACCCTCTACCCCCACCTCCACCCCCGCCCCTTTACCCCCACCCCTCGCCGATGCGTGTGTCCACATCGTCATCCTCGGCACGCGCCGGGCATCGTTTTCGATGGCGGGATGGCGGGCGTCTCCGCCGCGGCCGCGCGCTCCGGGCTGCCCCGTAAACAGTGGGACGCGGCCGCCGCCGGTCGGTTTTTCCCGGTTGCGGATGCCCCCGGGGCTGGCCGAGCAGGCCCGTGGGGACACCTGACCTCTTTGCCCGCTATCGCCGCCAATCCGGCTGAGAGCGGAGCCCAGAGCCGAACGACAGCTGGCGCTCGCAAGTAGATCAGAGGCGGGGTGAATCAGGGCGGGGCTTTGGTGGCGAGGGAGAGGCTTGGAAACCTTTCAGAAGCTTTTCCGGATCTATTTGATTAGTTCCCGTTATTAAGGAGGAAAAAGCTAGCTGCTGCCCTGGATATAGTGGGCTGCGTAAATGAGACGTCTGCAGTTGACTCTGACTTCCGAGACTGGGGTCAATCTCTTGGACAGATGCCCGCCCATTGAGTGGGGTGCGGCCCAGCACACATGTCTGCAACGTTGCCGTTGGCCGTTTGTTGGTGCTAACGGCTCGCCCACAGCACTGGTCATTTGGTTCCGATAACGAAGCATGTTTCGAAGCAATTGTGATAAGGATGACAAACCACATTGGCGACTCAGAATAAAAGGAATAAAGTAAAACAAAAAGATAGGCTTGGGGCCATGGTTTCGTATTCAGTGGCATATGGTAGACTTGAGGGAATCTTATGGGGGTACGCAAGATTATGTAAGGAATAGGCAAGGTAGACCTACATGGAACACTGGTAAGTGGGCCGAGACTTGGAGGAAACCAGTTTCATTTAGCAGAAAGTAGGGGTAAAATTATGAAGAGGTAGATCCTATTCAGTCAAAGAGTAGAGAATCATTGGATTGGGCCGTCAAACGATGCTGTAGGAAATCCCTCCCTGGTAACATTTAAAATTCGTTTGGACAAGTTCTATTGGTCTTAAGATCTCAGTTAGAGCCAAATTCAGATAGGTCAGGTGGTAAGATTGGTTGCGAGCATGTGTGCGGACCCTGAGGTAGGCCAACATCGATGGGCTCTGGCGGCTCTTTTTTGGCCAGATGTCGTAACGTCTTTTTGCCTTTATGCCTGAGTCGTAAAATCCGCATGAAGGAATGGTGGCAAGTGTTTTACCATATTTTCACATCAGCATGCGATTTCAAACCACTATCCCTTAACCGCAATCCGTCGAAATGTGCGTATGTGCTGTTTGTGCCTCTTTCGGATGCCCTAGCCCCTCCCAGCCGGTCTTTTGGTTGGACGACCTGCCCCTTCCTCCCAAAGCCGGTCTTTGTCCAAATCGTCCAAAAATCGCACGATATGCCGTAAAATTGTGTATTTTGTTGGTTGTGCCAACACATGTGCCACATCTTGTCTTTGCCACCTCCGTGCAATTAGCTTTATGAAGCCTTGTCCCTTGTGTGCATGTGTGCAACGGAAGGTGGATTATCACAAGTGGCCCACCTCTCCGCAGGCACCATACAGAATATGCGCGCCATGGCGTGGACAAGATGCGTGAACAAGCGGCTGAACACCGAAGCAGGTTCACCTGCCGGCAGCCCAACCCATTCTTACGAACGGGACATGTTTCTCGCTCGCATTCCTCTCTAATAGGGGAATTACCTTCTCGCTCACGACTGTCCGATGCGTGGTGAATGACCGACCTTCCCCATACACTACGCTTCTGAAGTTGTGTCTCACAAAACGCGCGAGCATTGCTCGATCCGTAAAAACGCAGCAGTTCTTCCAAACACGTAGGAGCCGCGTTCCACGCAACGACTAAGACCTGCATGCTTACGCAGCCCATCCACGCAAAAGACCACCGTGGATCGACCCGCAATACCCTCTGCCCCGCCGCTGGCCAGGCGCCATTCACGGCATTGTGCAATTGTAGTAATGGTCGTTTCACGTGGTGCTGCTCATTAAGACCCGGTACGTCGCGGTCGACCGCAGCAAACGCGCTGGTCACACGTACGGCCAGGTCTTCACCCCCCAGCGACGGACGCCTGGAAGTGCTGCTGGGCCCAGCGATACGGCGCCTGTGCTGTGGCGACGGCCGATTGGGTGGCTCAGTTGGAATTATTTGGCCGCATTATGGCCTCGGTCACGGCCTGATCGTCTCATTTGGAGCATCGTTTGCTCCGCGCCGAGAAGTGGGTTGTTCAGTGAAGTGCCAAACATCCGGCGTCACTGGGCTCAACATGGAACAAAACATTGGAATGCGAGGTTATCAGGGCGTGCAACTCTACGCTCGCTATTATTGTTGGCTGGTTACAGCCTTCAGCTTAGGAACCACTTTTGATCAGGAACTATACGATTGGTCGCAGGCTGGTAAGAGTTAGGCGCTTTGCCAGCAGCTGCAGCCAGTGCCAACTTCCTTATTATTTCAAACTTTGTAGCAGTCCAAATGACGTCATGAAGGCTGGTGCTGACGTCAAACTAAATTTATTCTTAAACCCAAAATTGGATGTAGCGTTGGACGATTAGCACCACTGACTGCGCATCCCGGTGGTTGGGTGTTCGCCGAACGACGACCCCACGAGCGATGAATGATCAGCATTCTATAGTTACGAAGCTATGTGGCGAAATGTGCGCTGTATCTGTAGTCATCGTCGCTGTATTTGTCGTCGTCGTCGCTGTATTTGGCGTCGTGATGTGCCGGGAATGACAGATAAATTGCCTTCGGGATTTTCACAGGACTTCAGCTATGTCCCTCTAAATCAAACCCGAATGACAGCGGTAGGTGATCAACATAGTCGCCGATTCCGCCAAACGAGTCTCTCCAAGTCAATAACAATGCACCGTATATTACCATGGGCGTCCCCGCGGCGCAGGGCAGTCACGCTCAAGTCACGCCGCACCCTAGCACACCACGCATGGTCTGCACGGACAGACCACACCGCACGTATCCAACACACCCCCACCACGACCGGATGTGATGAATTCAGACCACGGAACTCTGCCAACAGCCGTGTGCTGTCCAGCCTAGGAGACATGAGTGCACCAACGCCTCGGCATTGTCCGCCGCGCCAGCCGTGCCCGCGTGTCGCCTGCAGGCCGCGCGCGCCGTGGATGGCACTGGAGTCCGCCGTGGGCCCCCGCCCGTCACACCGCGAGCCAAGACATGTCGGCGACGAGCAGGTGGTCTAGCCGAGCGTCGAGCGACGGCGCCGCGCGACCGGCAGTCGCCGTCTCCGGCGCCGCGGCTGTGTCGGCGGCCGAGGCCTCCTCCATCGGCTCGTCCGGCTCCCTGACCACGGAGGGCTCGGTCAGCGCGGTCGGCACCAGGTGGCAGCAGCAGGCAGAGCGCCCCTTGCGACCGTGTATTTGTAAGGGTGGTGATGGTCATGATTTGGGTTTGGGACGCCCGACTGCGTCACTCCTATGGTGTCTGCGTGCATTTAGAAGGAATCGTGCGTAAGTATACACGTTACGATGTCTGTGGAATTATGTGCCGGAGCAAAAACAATGTATCAGTGGAATGTTCCACGAATAACCGCTTGGCAAGCAGGAGCAATGCAGAGCCAGGGGCACAAAGGGTACAACGCCCGACTGACCCGTACGAATGGGTCAATGGTTCCTCCACAACAGCCGTAAACGGCGCAAAACACATGCCGCTTTTGAATGGCAGCACCATGAATGCATGTACAGGTCTCTCACATGTCACAAATCTTCTATGAGCTTCTATGGTAGCACCAGCCGAAATATTCCAAATCTGTACACTGAGCCGGAAGTCGCTGCAGAGCTGGGGTTGCTGATCAGACATACCCCAATCACGCGTTTCAAATATCCTCTGAAGACCGGACATCTTGCACAGAACCGTGTAAGGTCGCTGTAATGTATCGGGAAGCCCTGGGCTGCAGCCCATACCCTGGGCACAGCATCGGCGCCCTCGTTCGGTGCAGCCAGTCACAGTCCGGCCACACAGTTCTCACCTGTCTCTGGGATACAGCATGGCCTCCAGGAACGGCGAACAGAGCCGAGTGAGCGGCGGTAGGGTGTGGCTCGGCGCCTCCAGCATCTGCACCGCACGGAAAACCCAGTCACGCACGGGACACACGTGCGGCTCTGGGCCGCTCCCAGTCACGCACGGGACACACGTGCGACTCTGAGCTGCTCCCGGTCACGCAGGGGACACACGTGCGGCTCTGGGCCGCTCCCAGTCACGCACGGGACACACGTGCGACTCTGAGCTGCTCTCGGTCACGCAGGGGACACACGTGCGGCTCTGGGTGGCTTCCGGTCACGCATAGTACACACGTGCGACTCTCTGCCTTCGACTGCACCGCACACAACCGACCACACGTCGAACCTGTCCGACACGAGATTAACGAAAGGGAGCTGGGAGAACTGCAACTACAACCCCTGCAGCAGCGAATACTGTTGCTGATGCTACTCCAAGTGTTTACCAGACCGAGAGCAGGGAGACAAGAATGGCATTCTTCGGATGCTACTCCAAGTGTCTACCAGATCGAAAGCAGGGAGGCCGGAATAACATTCTTGGGACGTACGCATCTTGCCACACAGCTGCCACCTCACTATAGCGCAGACCGACGTCAATGCCGGACGAGTATACAGCCGCGTCCGTCACTCCTACGCACCTCTAGCATCTGCTGGAGGCCGGGCGTGACCTCCGACTGTGAGCTCAGCTGGCCCGGGGTGACCGCCGAGCGGCGCTGCTCGGCCACCAGTGCCGAGAACGGCGTCGGCGTCACGTGACCGCTGATGACGTCACCGGCGGTGGGGACGGCGTCCGCCCCGGGCAGGTCCAGCGTGTGCAGGGCCTGGGGTATGCAAAGCTGGTTAGTCGAGTGGGGAGAGCGCCAGATATTTTGGAGGGCAGAGGCGGCAATGGCACAAATTTGTAAGCGGACGCATGTCTTTACAAGTGAAAGTTGTAGATATTCAGAAGATTCTAAGACACCTCTCGAGACACCTTCATAAAAACGGTATCCGTCCCCCCAAAAAATCGACAGCTGAATTTCTGTGCTCGTGGCCAAAACTTTTCGATGGTGGAATTATTCAAGCGCGGCAGTCCACGCACACATCTCACGTTCATTCCATTTTCCTCCTGCCAACGACGCCTCACACACTCCACCAAACACCAGCGGCTCCCAACCCGCGGTCCTGACCCCCACCTGCTGGTCGTTGAGGAAGAACAGCTGGGAGGCGCGCTGCCACTGGGGCAGCTCCGGGCGCGGGCTCTTGTGCGGCACGAAGCAGGCGGCCGAGACGCGCCGCCCCAGCGCCGCCTGGTGCACCGGCCGCGTACTACTCGGCCGGAACACAAACACTGCCGGACGGCCCCCAGCGGCGTGAGACCACGCACGGACGGAGCGGGCGGTCCGTGTGTGGGAGCGGGCGGCCTGCTGTCACTCTAGGGCCCCGGGACGACGCGGCAAGCACACGGCGTTGGGGTCAGAGGTGGCTGAGACCAGTGCCAGTATCACAAACCCACGTCTGGCATTGAATGAGCTCGTGGTCTACATTTTTGTCTGGAAAATCCTGACAGTGGCTTGCCAGTCACTTGGCGCATGTCGATTGCTGTAGACATAATGCCAGGCCGAAAACCATGTGCGTTCAACACTTTGGCACCAGAGGCATTCAACCGAGGACCGCGATCCGACGACAGCTGCTGCCCCCTATCTCACCACCTCACCCCACTGACCTTTGTTGGTGGCGCTGAACGCGGCCATATACTCGGAGCCTGGGTCAGGGATGAGGAGCGTGACCCGCAGGTCGATCCGGGCGGTCAGGGTCAACGTCTCCAGGTTCCACACACGCAGACCGGAGTCAGCGCGGGCCACCAACAGATGGCAGCACTGGCCGCGTCCAAACACCACCTGCCTGTGGGGCGGGAGCGAACCGCGGAGGTTAGCGAGCGGCAGCCGAGGGCCACAGAGGCGTGCAACGTACTGAGGGGAGGCGAGATCACGTGAAACAGCACCGACAGCATGTATGAGAAGGCAGGACAGTTCAGCCAACTTTCTAGCTGAAACAGATGAATGGTGTGTGAAAGCCCGAAACAAAACATGCACAATTATAGTAGCTTAGACAAAAGCATGAGGCAGCCGAGCGTTTCTCGGACCAGACATCAGAATGGGAACTCATAGAATGCTGCAAAAGATATCTTTCCCATCTCCCACACGACAGAACAGCTGAGTCCTTATCCACCTGGCATCAGTGCCAGCTCCTCACATCTGGACAACACAGAGCCCCCACAGCTGGACAGCACAACATCCTCACAGCTGGACTATACAGAGCCCCACAGCTGGACAGCACTGAGTCCTCACGCCTGGACCACACAGAACCTCCACGGCTGGACTGTGCAGAGGTTCCACAACTGGACAGTACAGAGTCCTCACAGCTGGACAAGACAGAGTCCTCATACCTGGACAGCACAGAGCCTCAATAGCTGGAAGCCACAGAACCCTCACATCTGGACAGCATAGAGCCCCCAGCTGGACAGTACGGAGCCCACCACGGCTGGACCATAGAGAGCACCCACAGCTGGACAACACAGAGCCTCCACAGCTGGACAGTACAGGGCATCTACAGCTGGATAGCACAGAGCTCTCACAGCACAGAGCCCCCACAGCTGGATAGCACAGAGCCCTATAGCTGGACAGCACAGAGCCCTGCAGCTGGGCAGCACAGAGCTGAGCTGGACAGCACAGATCCCTCGCGATGCTCACCGGACGTCATCGCGCAGTGTGACGTTGCTGAGCGTGTGCAGCAGCAGGTTGCGGTCAGGCGCCCAGACGGTGACGGCCGCCGCGAAGCCGACCGCCAGCCGGGCGCCGTCGGCCGAGAAGGCGGCACAACCGGCCGGCAGGCGACGGTGGGAGCCCACTGCGTCACAGCTCCAGCAGCTCTTGCTGCCTGCCGGGTCAGGTCAGATCGGGTCAAATCAGATCAGGTCAGGTCAGGCGAGGGCAGGGCAGGGCAGGGCAGGGGAGGTCAGGTCAGGTCAGGTCAGGTCAGGTCAGGCCAGGTCAGGTCAGGCCAGACCAGGCCAAGCCAGGGCAGGGCGGGGCAGGGCAGGGTGGGTCGCGCAATGGTTTCACCAGCACTCGAATTTCAACGGATAACGTCAGGCGAGGTAGCAGCAGCTCCCACCGTACTTGTTCCGCGCCAGGTAAGGCTCTGTCATGTCGTAACTCCCCGAAATATACTCTCCCGCGGGTTTGGTCGGTTCAAGAATCAAACGCAATCTCAATTGTTACGGATGCAGCGAACCACACACTGATCATTCGCAAAGCAAAGCACATTCAAACAAACAAGATTCCAATCAATAAAAACATCCTGCCATTCCGGAGCTGATGCGGCGTAATTATCATGAACAGAGCGTGCACGCGTAATGACACGACACACCAGCAACGCTCGCCCCAACGTACTGTAGATGTCCGAGTCATCGACCAGACACCAGTACTTGATGGCGCCGTCGGTGCCGGTGGTGACCGCCAGAGGCGCCACCTTCGCGTCGGGGCCCGGCTGGAACTCCAGCGCCGTCAGTGTGCTGTCGTGGGGGTCGTCCACGCAAGTGTTCAGCGCGTAACTGCAACAGAGCCCGGGTCAACGACGCCGTCCACACGCGTGGTCGGGACGACCTGACACTGGAGGGCAGACCAACGACGCACGTGTTCGGCGGGAGGCTGGAATGGAGACGAAGGTCAGGGATGGTCACCAGAGCAGGTTTCACAAACAACAGGATGCGTGGGTTACTTATATGCCTGTGTGCGCATATGGGCGCTGTAGATGGTCAGACGAGGATGAAAGATGGTGGCAGAGACCGCTGTGGGAACAGCATTCCTCAGACACATTGGGGCGCGACCAACAAAATGGACCACATATGACTGATGTTGTGACTGGCTGTACACGAACGAATGCAACGAGAAAAGCCAAATACGCAATCATCGGACTTCATCGTTGCGGCCATATGTAGCGCCAAAACAAACAAGTGCCAACACCCATCAGGAGGCTCGCACTGTCAATACCAGCAACACTTTAGAGTTCATTGGTGTCGTCAGCTATTTGTTTTCGTACACGATTAACGTTAAGAGCAAATAAATATGATAACACGTGGAAAAATCATCGAAAACCAAAACACGCAGGACAATCCGATATAACGTTACGAAAAAGGAAACAGCAGCTAAGCGAAAACAAAAGCACTGGCACTGCAGAGAATTATATCCATTCTAGCATCCAGCTTCACGAAGCTTTACGAAGCCCCGCAGCAGCTGACAGCCCCCGGTGGCCGAGAGAGGGCGCTGCTGGAGCCGGTGAGTCAGCCCGCCACCGGCGGTGTGGCTCACCTCTGCTGCACCGCGTCGAAGCGCCAGAACTTGAGCCGCCGCTCGGGCGTCGTCCGGCCGTCGTCGCGCTCCTCCAGCGTGGCCATCCAGCCGCCGTCTGACGTCACCGCCGCGCGCGTGACGTCACACGTGACCGGCGCGCCCGTCCGCTCGCGCGTCAGGTAGTTGGTCTGCACCACGTCGATCTGGGGGCGGGCGGGGGGCCGGTTCGGGAGGCTGAGGCACGTGCGGTGGTCAGGCGATGATTTGGCTCAGCCGGCGTCCCATGGACGGGATCTGATGACATAGGGCGTCTGCTATCGCCAGCCAGAGTAACATTGGAAGAGCATGGAGCGCCACTTTCGCATCTGGGTGACTGCACAGATGACAGTAATTCAGATGCAGTGCTCAGGGTGGGATTCGGTATACAACAGTAATTATTTTCAGGATTAGTCTTAAACAACATACCTGATAACAAAACGACAAGCCACTCCGTACTACGAAGCCCGAGCATACAGACCAAACTTACTCAGAAACAGAGAACACCATGCCTGCAAACTCGCCCACGCAAACCCTCTCGCGTACCAGCCACGCTGCTGTGCTTGTCAACGGCCACCAGCCGCGCAAATGGCACTGTGACCTGGAAGCTCGGGCGCATGTCGTCCGCGCACGGCTCACGGCTCACTCCCCCTCCCCGCCGCCCCCCCCCCCCCCCCCCGACCGGCACTCACGCTGTAGAGGTCGCGCCGGTCGTGCGGCGAGAACAGCTGCAGGTGGCCGACGGCGCCGTTCAGCAGCAGCGCGCCGCAGCGAGGCTCCAGCACCAGGCCGGTGGCCGGGCCGGCGCCGGCGCCCCAGCTGAGGCCGCGGATCAGCTGCGTCACCTGGCGCTGGGCGCTCACCAGCCGAATCACTGCCGGGAGAGGGGGCAGGTCAGAGGCGGCGATGATGTGAGGCGTCACCACACCGCCGACGCCCCGGGTCGCCAGGGAGCCCGCGTGCAGGGCGTGTGCTCGCTGCGGACGAGCGATGGGCCACGACGGTGTCCGCAGGAGGTGACGCCTAGCCAAACATTCGGATACGGCTTAGTTAAAAAGAAACGGCAATCGATATCAGCCGTCATCATCAGCGTGTGGCATGACCTCATCCGCCGTGCCTGGCGTGTGACATGACATCCCCCACCGTCCCCAGCGTGTCACATCATCTCTCCCACCATGCCCGGCGTGTGACATGACATCCCCACCGTCCCCAGCGTGTACATCATCTCCCCACCGCCTGCCCGGCGTGTGACATCATCTCTCCCACCGTGCCCGGCGTGTGACGTGACATCCCCCACCGTCCCGCGTGTCACATCATCTCTCCCACCGTCCCCAGCGTGTTACATCATCTCTCCCACCGTGCCCGGCGTGTGAAGTGACATCCCCCACCGTCCCCAGCGTGTTACATCATCTCTCCCACCGTCCCCGGCGGTGTGACATGACATCCCCCACCGTCCCCCAGCGTGTTACATCATCTCTCCCACCGTGCCCGGCGTGTGACTGACATCCCCCATCGTCCCCAGCGTGTACTCATCTCTCCCACCGTGCCCGGCGTGTGACATGACATCCCCCACCGTCCCCGCGTGTACATCATCTCTCCCACCGTGCCCGGCGTGTGACGTGACATCCCCCGCCGTCCCCAGCGTGTCACATCATCTCTCCCACCGTCCCCAGCGGTGACACTGACATCCCCCACCGTCCCCAGAGTGTTAATCATCTCTCCCACCGTGCCCGGCGTGTGACATGACGTCCCCCAACCGTCCCCAGCGTGTTACAATCTCTCCAACCGTGCCCGGCGTGTGACATCATCTCTCCCACCGTGCCCGGCGTGTGACATCACCTCACCCACCGTTGTCGGCGTGTGACGTGGCACCAGCTGGTTGTCGGGCGAGACCGTGACGTGGCGGATGGGCATACCAAGACGCGGCAGGAAGGCGGGCTGCTCGTCCTGGCCGTGCCAGTACACCAGCACGCACTCTCTCCGCCACTCACCAGGTACGTCCTGCCCGGCGAACAGGGCCGAGGCAGGGTCAGCTCATCAGATGAGACAGCCGGCAGTCAAGATCATAACAGCTCATTAGACGGTGAGGCCGGCAGTCAAGGTCAAAAGCTCATCAGATGAGAAGGCCGGTAGTCCAGGTCACAACAGCTCATCAGATGAGACGGCCGGCAGTCCAGGTCACAACAGCTCATCCGACGAGAAGGCCGGCGGTCACGGTCACAACGGCTCTTCTTTCTCAGCGGTATTGCGGCTAAACAGTCAAAGAACGAGTTGTGGACACCATGCATTACAAACGCGCTTGACAACATGAGGGAAGTCAAGCCAAATAAATATGTTTGACTTTCAGGTGTCTAAACACTGCATCATCCCCGCTGACCCCAGGCGCTTAACGCTCAACGGCTTGTCCCAGGATCGGCGCTCGACACTCGTGATTCCGGGCGTTTACAATTTTAACGGACACTTGGGGATCACAAAGACCGGCAGTGCTGTGTGTCGTTATCACACTGTAGCTATCGCTCATCTGCGTCGTCACGCTATCAGCAATAGGCCTGCGATCTTCTCCCCTTCCCCTCGCGTGCCTGATGGAGAAGACCACCCCACCCCTCCCAAACCCGGCCCTGTAGCGACAAACGCCCTGGAGCGCGCCTCACCCTCGGGAGAGAAGCTGACGCTGGGCAGCGGCAGCGTGTGCCAGTGGAGCACGGAGAGGACGGGTGGCGTCGGCCAGCAGGCGGCGCCACAGAGCAGCAGCCGGCCGCTGGCGTCGCCGGCCGCTACCGCCGGCTCCGTCGGTGACACGCCAGGCAGGTGAAGGGACGGGCGCTGTCCGATCGCAGCTGTCGGCGCGCCGAGGAGGCGTCAGGCGGCGGAGGAGTCAGGCGGCGGAGGAAGCGTCAGGCCGCGGAGAGTCAGGCGCGCCGAGGAGGCGTCAGGCGGCGGAGGAGTCAGGCGGCGGAGGAAGCGTCAGGCCGCGGAGGAGTCAGGCGCGCCGAGGAGGCGTCAGGCGGCGGAGGAGTCAGGCGGCGGAGGAAGCGTCAGGCGGCGGAGGAGTCAGGCGCGCCGAGGAGGCGTCAGGCGGCGGAGGAGTCAGGCGGCGGAGGAAGCGTCAGGCCGCGGAGGAGTCAGGCGGCGGAGGAAGCGTCAGGCGCGGAGGAGTCAGGCGGCGGAGGAAGCGTCAGGCCGCGGAGGAGTCAGGCGGCGGAGGAAGCGTCAGGCCGCGGGAGGAGTCAGGCGGCGCCGAGGAGGCGTCAGGCGGCGGAGGAGTCAGGCGGCGGAGGAAGCGTCAGGCGGCGACGAGGCCGGCCGCGCCGTGGCCTGGCTGGCTGCAGGTGCGCGCGGGCGAAATGTGCGTGCGGACAGAGGCACATTACCGAGGTCTTCAATCACGGAGGTGCGTGAACAACGTCGTCGAAATGGGCATTAATGATGCATAATTGGTCTCACGTGAAATACGTTGATTTCGCAGTACGAAATCGGCCATTAAACATAGTATCAGGCACTGAAAATGATATGATGATGCCTGGGAATTTGATTGCGACCTTGACAAGGTCCAAAACGTAATGCATGCTGCATGCAATGCTCAACATGTTTTTGCATTTGGCCTTATGGTGGTATCCATATATATGATGAGGTGAGGTATCCATAACAGAACGACGATTCCGTATTTGCATTCGTAGCGCAGTCAGTGCGTTCACTTACGTGTTGTACTGATGTGTTTTGGCGCTCTCTTTCTGCCACAGGTTGCGCACAAGAATGGTGTCGGCCTTGACCAGTGCTGCCACCATGCGGCCGTCGCCGCCGAACGCCACCTCCCATCTGCCGGCGGTGCCTCGCCGCACACCCCGCACCACCTCCTGGGCGAGCGTGGCGTTCTTGACGGGCCGCACGAGATCGGCCGAGTCGTCCGTGCCGGACCGGCGCAGCAGAACGTACGGCTCGACAGCGCCGGCCGGCCGCAACAGGCCCACCATCGCGCTGCCATCTGACGTCAGCGCGGCGAAGCTGCGTTTCTGAAACGTGCCGGTGCTGATTGAGTTGCACGTTCACCAGTGAGGCACAACGTACACTTCGCGCAAAGTGCTGTAAGTTAGCAAGCAAAGTCGCCTTGTAAAATGGCGTTACGTAACTACTGAAGGATTAGCTTCACGGCAACAATGGAACAGAGCGCTGAAAGAAACTAAAAGCTACCGACCTTCAGTGATGTCCCCAGGGGGAAGTCCCACAGGATGATATTGGCTTCACTGTCACAAGTTGTGACATGGCGATGATTCGAGGCGTCAGGATACACTGCCACTATTGGTGACTTGGTCTCCAGAAGATGAGCCAATTCGCCCGTTGCAGCATTGTAAGCATGAACCTTTCCATCATTGACAACAAACAAGAACCTGTGAAGAAGAGCAATTGGTCACTGAAAGAATACAGACATTAGCTGAAGTGGGAAAAATTTAGCTTTTAGAAGGATTAAGGCGAGGTATAAGTATCATGGATGGATGAAATGTTCGGACATCGGCCTCGTCTTGCGTGTTAGTATGAACACAGCATTTCGGCCACTGAACTCTTCGACAACCATCTCCAGTGTCATTAAGTCCTTAGAAGGTTTGGGTAATGTTTGGCTTTCAGCCATGTACCATCACAATCTGAATTATCTCCTTGAAGACTCTGGATTATGGTGGGCTGGTTATGCTGTGCAGGAAGGATGATCCATCTCGGTTAGCTCAGTCAGTAGACCACCAAACTCTTTAAATGGAAAGACCCTAGTTTGAAATCCAGTAATTCCAAGGAGGTCATTTGGGCTGTGACACCTACCTGGCTGAAACCTAATCATCACCCAGTCACACTTACTGCTTCATAACACCTGTGAATGGTTGGAGAGTTCGCTGGCTGAAATACTGAACACATGCTAACACTTCCAAAAAGGACAAGTGTCTTGAACTATTATTCCAAACATGGGTAGAATTTAGCTACTGCATAAAATTATACCTGTTAGGTTTACTTTGACTTTGTGCAATGTAAAACCCCTTGTATACTGATGAACTCTGGGTAACAGCAAACAGGTTGGTAAAGAATCATTGCAGAGTTAAGGGAAAAATTAATATGTGCAAGAAACATAGCAATCAAAATACAGATAATTCTCTTAAGCAAGTACATGCTTCCTTACTGTAAGTTAACACCACTTCACATTGGTCTTGGGCATATTGGTCCAATGCCACTTTGCATTGGTCCTGGTCATCCATAGATGTAAAGCTGCCCCCCAACCAACTAATCAGCAAAAAATCCACCCAGTGCTCAGATACCTACAATGATTGGCATTAAACCTTGTGTGACCCAACCCAGGCTAAAATGCTTTTTGAAGGATTTTTGTCTGAAAGTTCATTAACAGCATCTCAATTCCTTGAAGCATTACTTATTGAGCAATAGAAGTGATGTTGCCTTGCTACAATACCCAGAGGGCTGAAATGGGTCAGGGTCAAAGGGCAACCTATTGACACCAATTAACTGCCTGCAGGAACTGCCTCAAAGCCAAGATCCTGGTAGTTAATTCATGTTTACATCCTGCACACCCTGCTGGATAAACTTTGGAGGACTGGAGCTGAAACTATTGTCATGCACATGGAAGAATTTGGTATGTATATTTCTTGCAGCCTGGCCCATATGCACAAGGGAGCATTCAGTTACATCACAAATTGCCTACACAAATTTGACCAAAAATTGACGAGGCAAAACAAATAAAACATCAACTTACTTTGAGCCTGCACTGAAGACAGGCTTGTCATCCACAATGCTTCCACCTGCGATTTTCATTTCTTCTAGACCGCCCTGTTGAACTCCCATGCTAACGTCCGAGCTTGAAGTGATCTTGGATTCTTTCATAGCGTTAAGCAACTTTCTAGACACAATGAAACACAAACTACTGTCATTCACGTGAAATGCAAACTTACAAACTCGACTCACTCAAAAAGTGTGCATGCCAACAAGCCGAGCTAAATACATCACATCAGCAAATCGCGCCCCAAAACCACAGTCCCCTAGAACGCAATCACCAACATGTGTCTAAAATGCATTATTTTGGAACACGCCGCCGCGTCGTTCCACGTCATTTGTGCGCATGGTAAGCTTCAGAAGGCGTAGGCTTTTATTGGGGATGGATTTCAGAAGAAAAAATATTTTGGCAATGACGCAGAAGTACTTTTCAGTCTGCAAGAAAATTTTCTGAAGTTTTTAATCGACCCTTTGTAGTAGTACGGCCTAGTTTTGGATTGGGCAACGTTGGACTTTATGTCACGTATTATTTGGCCATCACAAATGTGTGCTGTAAACAGACTATGGTCCAATCGCCTTGCGCCAAATAAATTTACGCCTCACGACCTTTCGTGAGGCTTTCGTCATCGGGTTGTTTGTTTTCACCCTTACGCTGTATTGTTTCGTTGCAGTGGGCACTGCTCCAGGTATGTGTGGGCATAGAATACATCCGTTAGCAGGTATCATTTACCTTATCACGTTCATGTGAGACTCTTCAGCGGGGTTGGGAGCTCATAGCATCATAACACCCAATGGGTGGGTGTTGGTGTCTCATACTAACGAGTTGACCCAGCTGTTCTGGGTCGCCTTGTTTTGAACCAGATGTCTTGCAATCATTTTCACGGCCTTTTTTCCGATCTCTCACATGTAGTGCCAGTTGAAGTTTATCACATCTTTTAGGACAACAGGTGGTGATCTCCCATTGCCACAAAATTGTGTCATCAGTTATTTGAAATACTTTTGATAAGTATTTTTGAAATCATGAATGCTTTTGGCATACTATGTGTACCATGAACATACTGGAGTCACTTAATTGTGCCTTCCAGATACTGCATGCCTTTCAGACCAGTCATTGATCAAGACACTATCTTGACAAAAAGTAACAGGCTTGTATAAGCTTGGTTGCATATTTGGTGGTTTGGTGGCAGGGATGCCAATATTGTTCATGCTTTTACACCCCAGACTTGGGTTCACCATCGTTTGCCTATCCTGTTGCTGTAAGTCAGCCAATCAGTCTTGGCATGACAAATAGGCCCGGCAGGTTAGATGTCTGGGCTCGGAGTCAGATAATAAGTTAAATAAGCACCTGTCAGTGTGTGATGCAGAATTTGTCAGATAGTTAGGATTCTGGTGGCATGAGATTCTGTTTGCATCCTTGAGACTACTGGATGAATGTTATAATGCTGCTCTTCTATGTTATATTAGGGTCTAAAACTGGTTAATTACAAGTGTGGCCTATGAAGGCACTATGTGGTAATAGTATGTGATAATTATGTCTATCAACACAAGCAGTGAAAGAAGCCCTGATGTTAATTTCAGCCTAAGTCAGTTGACTAAAGATGCTGGAGACTCCAGACATCACAGTCCTGATCAAGGCACCTAATCAAAAGCATGAAGACCACCCAGTCCAGTGCAGAGGAACTTGGACAGTGTACCAGCTGAAGGACCACCTGGCAGAAAACTACCCCACCAAACCAGTAAGTGTACATGGCTATTGACTAAATTTGGTTAGATTGGAGTGTGGTCTAGCTGTAAAGTTTCAGGGTTAGAGGTTGTGCCTTGTTTGTAAAGGCTCAATGTGATGAACTTCAACTATGTACATGCTATACTATTCTTCACTTTAATGTGTCACATGTCCTACCCATGAACCATCACACCTGTTCAGCCTATTTCTCAATGTTGATATTAATGCCTAAGCATGACTGGGCTTCTCTGGTGTGTTTAGCTCTAAGTGTTATGACAGCACCCCGCAGCTAAACTTGAAATCCAGGTACTGGTGTGAAGCTGCTCCAGTTGCTTGCGCAGAGAGATGTCAGGTGTTATCTCCTTATCATATCAGCTTGGCAGTCAGATGCTGGCAGCAGAGGTGCTATTTATTTTGCCCACTGATGGGCAGAAGATGACTGACTGCCCTCTGCTCTACCCCAGTTGAACCTCACCAGAATCTAAGTGAAACCTGATGGTGCCCCATGGAAAGAGCCAAACTAAACACTGTTTGCCCTCACATTCACTATCATGGTGTAGTTAAGCTGCTTGTCTGGGAAACTAGAGATACTAGGTTTGATTCCCTCCATTGCAGTTTCTGCCCCTCCTGCTTGGGTGAGATGCAGGCAACCTGTTATAAAACACCAATAACACATGGCATACACATGAACTATCAGGGGTTTGCTGCTATGGGCTCTGACCCCTCTGACAGACACATCTGATGTCAGTCATCCAGCATGGTGCAGTGCTGTGACCGCGCGCCGTGCCGTCAGACTCTGAGGGAGCAGCGGCTGATCTACTCCGGACAGCTACTGACGGACGACAGCCGGCTGGGCGATGTGCTCCGGCCGCACGACGACGACTCCAACGTACACACCGTGCACCTGGTGTGCGCGCCGCCGGCCGAGCCGCCGAGCGGCCTCCGGCGCCGCCGGCCGCCGCCCCAGCAGCAGCAGATGCCGCCACAGCAGCAGCAGCAGCCTCAGCATCAGCAGCAGCCGCCACAGGTTAGGAGTGTAGTGCCCCACCCAGGTCAGTTGTGGTGCCCTTAGTGAGTAGGTATATGCAGATGGGTGTGGTTGTTATGCTGGGGTGATACTGCCACAGTGGGCTATCGTGTGACGTCACCATAGGCACAGGTCCATAGCTGTGGGTGAATATGGTGCAGTCCCATAACCCCTGAGGTCATGACAGGAGGGTGACCCCACCAATCACTTAAGCAAAAGGTCCAAATAAAGAGCTACCACTGAGTTGACCATGGTGTCAGCTCTGTCCAAGCTGTGGAAGTCTGCAGCGCGGCAGCTACGCTATGCAGCCTGGTGCCGGTCTTGTAACGATGTGTGTCAACCTCTCCATAGACGGCCGTGGGTAACCGCTATCGCTTTGGACCGGGTCTTTTCGTTTGTATGTCGGATTTGCGTGGGCACTTACGGGGCAGCAGGGTTAGTTAAGGTGGTGTATTGCTGCCATGCCGCTAGTAGCACATGATCCACTGTTACGGCAGACATGTAACGAGCCTCATTTGGATAACCTTGAAATGGCACACACATTCATTAGTTTTTGGAGAGCACGCAATCTTATGTCGCACATGGCTCATATCTGGAAAACATGAGTGGTTGCTACAGGAGAGCAGCACAGTTTGACTGTGAGCAGACCGCGACGTCATATTTACGTAGGGTACCTTTGTGTTAGGTCGGGCACGCGTGCTCTGGCGAAGACTGTGAATTCCTGCTTTTGAGTCCGAGCCAGGGCCAATTTATGCTAGATCTCGTCACGTCAGCTCGATCAGATCTGGCCCTGAAATCAGTTAGATCCTGTCGTGGTTTAACTGACTAAAGATCATGTAGGAAATTCAACGGTTCTGTACGAACGGCACCGTCGACCGGAAATGCGTCCAAGTCTGTCTCGAATTTGCGGCTCCGAGCCTAGGCTGAGCGACAGTGGGCGGGAGTAAGCCGGTCGACATTATATGGTAGGTGCGCACAACCCTGCAGCCAAAACACCGCGGCCAGTTCGCCTCGAAATGCGCGCGTTTTTTCTTTCTCATCGATAACTGACAAGCGTGGTATGAGTGTGGAACTGGCCAGCTATGGGTACGGGGCTGCCTCATGCCTTAATGCCTTATAAAACGACATGCCTCATAAAATGACTTTGGCCAGCCCCACACCTCATACCCATACCAATTTAACACAAATGTTAATTGATGTATTTGCTTACCGAGATTTGTCACTACTGCGGCACAAGTTTGAGCCTGGCTGTTTCGATGGGCTGAAATAGACAGCCCTTCGCACGAGACATGCCAGCACCGTTAATTTCTTAATGCCGTTGAATTGAATTAAATTGAGTAGGGCCAACGTGGTGTATGAGATCAACGACTATGACTGAGTTTGCATGATGTGATAACCCCTGCCGTTGATGAACCCCATTTTTTTTTTATCTAAACATGCAACGAGCGCCATTGATCAACATGGAAACGGTAAATACGTGACGCTTATGTCGGGAACGACCAATACAAGAGTTGAATCGATGCACATTCAACACCGGTGGTGCCGGCTTTGAAACCAGCCGCACACAGTTTTTTGGATGCAACAAACCATGTGGCAAACTCAGGGTTTTCTTATTTGTATGAACATCAAAGATCGAACGTGAGGATGATATCGAAAACTCCATCTCGAGTGCGCTCCCATGTAGCGTGAACCAGTCAGCATCGAGGGTGGGAACGGATATGACGCGTTCTGAAGACCAGCTTTGCCGAGGACACGGTAGTCATCAGTTTCAGAACTGCTAAAGGCGCGTGTCCTCTGTCGATTGGTGAAGATTGCCCCGAAACAGGCAGATTTAGAGACTGGGGTCTGCTCAATATTGATGTGGTGGTAACTTGAGCTATCACGCACGGTGCTTGGACATAATGATATTGGCATTTTGCTCGCTTTGGTTTTCGTCTTAGCTAAGGTCTCCTTGCAGCTTTCAGCTGTGACAAAGCAAGTCATATTCAGTATTACGACGTAACCGGAATGGCTATCTCACCCCGTGAACCGACCTGCGCGGTGACAAGCGAGCCGTCCAGATTTGCTATGAAAATGCCTGCTGGGTGATGGGATTTGAGGTTCAGTGGAAACGGTGCTAGCTTTGAGCCTTTTTGGGCCGGTCGTGAGCAGATGTTCGTGAGCAGATGGGTTTTCTGGATCCCGGGTGATACCCAGACCCGCGCCTCGACCGGGTTCGTCGGCCACAACAGAGCTCTAAGCAATAGGGTCATATGTGGCGACCTTCCGCTCTTGGTGCACTTCCTGCGACCTCAGATTGCATCCCAGACGGCGTCGCCGGTATGAAAGCCTTCGTGGTCCTGGCGGCGGCGGCTGAACCCCTCGCTGGGCATTCAGCTCGTGTGCAGGCTCCGCCGTCCGTGCCGCCCTCCCCCTCCTCCCGGGTGGTGGGCGGTGGCTGCGCGGTGCAGCGCATTGAGGCCCCGCCGGGGGCGGCCGACCAGCCGGCCGTGACCTTTACACCGGCTCGCCCCGGGCACGAGCGGCCTAAGCTGGCGGCGCGTTGCTGAGATACGGTGCGCGCGGAGGGCGGTGCCCGGGGCGACCGTGGAGCAGCCACAGGTGGCGTCGCCTGTCGTGAGCCGTGGGATTATCCAGCTGCGAGGCTGCCTGTGGGGGAAGCTCATGAGGCTGGTCATGTGGGGAGCTCTGGCCGGCACGAGGGCGACGGGCGGGAGCACGGGTGACGATCGCGTCCGGGGGTCGTTCGTCAGGTGGTGCGCGTGTGGCGCCCTGGTTTTCCCGTGTGGAGCGAGCCGGACGTAAATGTAATTAGATCTTGCTTTGTATCAGACCTGCTGTGATATAGTCACAAAGGCCACTGTTACTGAAAGACCAGAGCTGCGTTTTCCCTTTATGTGTTGAATCGCACACAGTTCTCGAATGTAATTAGATCATGCGTCATATTAGACCTTTGGTTGCATTGTACTCAGGGTGGAGGCCGCGGCTGAATGACGTCATCTTATATTTAGTCTTTCCGGACATGCTAACCCGTAATATTCAGTTAACAATATCGTAGTCGATGCCGACCAAGTTAGCTCTGTTGACTGCCAGAATGGCTGAATTCTAAGATGGCGGGAGTAGTCAGGTCACAATCAAGCTCAGAAAGCAGAAAATATTTGAGTTAGCCAAACGATCGGTCAATTTAGGCACTTTTTTTCGTTATTTGTCTCTTGAGTTGCACAAAAGGAAGAACAATTAACCGTAATCAGTTATTGAACAGTGTTGCCAGAATTATCTTAATAAAAAATGGCACGATTTAAAACCAAAGTAGCAAGGAATTATAAGAGAGCTGCGAATGAAGCAGCAGCTAGGTATATATATATATATATATATATATATATATATAAAAGCCTTTCCTCAGGACGGAGAGGGAAGACCGTACGTTAAATCATCCATATCCCGGTCCGAATGATGTCTGTCTTAATCCTACACGTCGGTGCACATGCCTAAGCGTTAAAACCAAAAAGCGGAATATAGTTATTGGGCGTAAAGCTCTTATAGGCTCAATGCACGTGTGTGTGATCTCCCATGATCCGCATGAAACTTGACTTTAGAATGACCCTGACCTGAGTCTGACTGACAGCAGCCTTTCAAATAAGCGGTCAACTATATTTTCTGCCCGCTACTCTGTATCTTGACATGTTTCATAGTGGCCTGGTAGAATGCACGTGACTTGCAAGCTGTCCCTCGTGGGTCTAATCGATTTGTTTGCGTAATCCATTTACCTCGGCTACAGAATAGCGGAGCGCGCGTCTGTTGTGACCCCTGACCCGCCTGGCGCCTCCCTCTGACTGGTCTCCTCCCGCGTCCGCCAGGCGGCAGCACAGCCGGCGCCGGCCGCCGCCGCGCCTGTGGACGCCCCGCTGCCGCAGCCGTATGACCTGAACCAGTGGGCGCACATGCTGCAAAACAACCAGCACCAGCTGATGGCCATGCAACAGCTCTACAGCCAGTACTGGGCCCAGTACGCCCACATGTATGTACATTCGTCGCTGGCTGGGTGTGGATCGCGGCGGTAACGATGGTAACCGTCGACAAATGACGGAGCTGTGTCATGCGTGAGGGGCTGTTGGTATGGTGACCGTGTATTATTGTATTGCGTGCGCCATGTAATTCATTTTGTTCAGGGCAATGCACTCTCCGACGCCCATTGTAACTCACTACAGGCGGCTGTTGAAGGCGTAGCTCCGTGTGGAGTGTGACCGGACGCCGCGTTACCACAGTTGCCTCCTGCCGGCAGGATGCAATACAACCCGGCCTCAATGCCGATGATCTGGCCGCAACCGATGCAGGTGCCGCCCGCGGGGTCGGCGTACCCGCCGCCGGCCGCTGCCGCCCCCGCCCCCGCCCCCGCCCCCGCTCCCGCCGCTCAGGGGCAGCCGCCGCCGGCCGCCGCCCCCCAGAACGTGCGCCTGAACGCACAAGGTCAGGACTGGTCGGCACGCGCGGCGGCCGGAGTGCAGCATAAGGCGCCGCCGGAGCGCCGGCTGTCGTGCTGGGAATTTTGCGACCGGTGATGTGGGATGTCCCCCTTGATTGAAGGCTGGTGGCCTCGGTCGTAGCGCCATGAGGGGGGCCAATGGCGTTGGGTTATGTGTCGTTTATTGCCGCTGCGAGCGAGATGACGCAGGGTCGCATGCACTGACGCAGTTTCCCGGGCGTGCGTGTCATTAGCCTGCCCAGCATCGAAAGGTCATCTTGTACTGGCTGGGAATCTTTGCTCTGGCATGGGGCGGCTGTGACACGTATCATTATTAGCCTCCACTGATAATCAGTATCATAGCATCGTACCTTACGTAAGATGCATGACTGTTTTTTTTTCTGACTAGAAGGCTCAAGGCAAAGTGATATATCAACGGAACTCGCCATTCATGCGGGGTGATTCCACGCGGAAATTTATGCATAATATACCTTTTCAAAGAGGTATCCCTCAAGTCAACTATAAGCACGCCGTTTTTTGTGGTAGTAATGGAAAATTTGTTTGTAAAAAGGAGTTTTGAATCAACTAAACGTGAATACCCGGAAAATTGTCTCCTTTTATATTTGTTTCTGATTTTATGCTTTAGCGCTTGAATATTGCCACCAAAGCACAATGATGTCATACATTCCTCCCATTAGGCCTCCGTTGGCTCCCCCCCCCCCCCCCCCCACTCAGTTAAGACCTGAAAAAAATGCTGCAGCAAAAAAGCATGGTCGGCAAAAATAAAGACAAAACCGCGACTGTATAAACTACCTAGGTTTTTGCTCTTATTGAACGAAAAACTTCAGATGCTAAACCCTTTAAGTTAAAGCTACTTGTACAAACTTTGGAAACGTGACTTACTTCACAACTATCCCGTTGATAACACGGCCGCCCAAAAAGGCACGCGGTTGTGATGACATCCTCTGTCGGCGCCGGTCATAAGCAACAGTGTGCCGTGTCGCCGCCAGGTGGTGTGCTGGCCGACGACGAGGACGAGGCCCCTGGCCAATGGGACTGGCTGGATTGGCTGCACGGCTTCGCCCGCCTGGCCGTGCTCTTCCTCGCCGTCTACTTCTACGCCTCCATGTCGCGCCTGGTGCTGGTCCTCGGCTTCGGATTCCTCGCCTACCTGTGAGTGCGCCTGCGGAAGGCCTCGAAGTGGAAGGAAGCTGTGAAGTGTGCAAAGCTTCAGTGCTTCTGCCGAGACGGCGTCAGGATAGAGTGGATGATTATATCATTGATGATGGAAGAGAACATTGACGGGCTTTGATTCCGTTACAAACTCAGGTCGAGTTTTCTCTGCCTGTAGCTTGCGCTTGCAGCCATACTTGATGTTCCTTCACATTTGATGAAAAATATGAAAACCTAAACGTTCGGGCTCTCTGGCACCCTGGCATTAGGTTTTGTTATGTTCCAGAATTCGTGTCCATGTATCTTATCCCACAAAGTAATTGGATACTGGTGGGTGGTAACTGCAGTGTGGATTCATTGATGGAATTTATTCCTCACTTAGCCAGTAAAAAAGAATCATAAGTGAGCAGGATATTTTCGTCGTGAAGACATGTATATCCAATTGCAGCGTGTTCCTTTGAACAGAGTAGATGACAAAGCTCAGATCGTCAAACGTTTTCAAAATTTGTAAGGTTCATCAGCCGCTAACTCAGGCAGGTGTAATCTGAATGCAAGAAGTGTTGAACAATACCAAGTTGTTATAGTATCAGTTGTACATTGATCGTTTGCTCTTGGCCGGCGATCCGTGCGGTCGGTGGCGGCCGTCGCGCTAAAGGTCAGGTGACGTCAGAGGGCGGGGCCGGTCGTGCCAACTTTGGCGCCACGTTGCTCTTTTGCCGCCAATTTCTGCCGTCGACCTGGAATTTCACGTTCGGATTGTAGAGATCAGGGCTGACGTAACAAGCACTGCTTGGCGTGCGCTTCGATTCCATAAATGCATCCATTCAATTGATCGGGATCGAGTCTTTGCCAAAAATTGACGCAGTGGCAAACAGTTACCCATTGCTACTGTCAGATAGGCATGCTGCACCTTGGCTCTGAACATGCGGTTAGAGAGCAAAAACTTAAAATGTGGTAGAGCGTTGGCTAGTAATCCACATGGTGTGGGGATGATTCTGTGGTGCATTGTGAGTCAAATTTAGACTCCCTCAGATATATTGATGTACCCGTAATGCATGTCCACTGCTTTATACATATGGCCGTGACTCACAGCACTTTGTTCTCGAACGGAACATAGGAGCGTTGTGGGCTGAGATTGGGCAGTAAAAAGTGAGCTCATATATTTAACTAGGATGTACCTCCTCAGCCTTAGGTGGTGTGCTGTGCCAGGCACAGAGTTTCTGGGGCTGGGTGAACCGCGCTTACCGCCGTGTCTCGGGGACGCATCAGGCCGGACAGAGTTTCATGCCAGCTGTCATAAATTCCTTACGACTTCCAGTATGCGGGTTGTGAAACTGCATGCATTTTAATGTGCCAACGCTCCTCATATGTATTCAGCGCGATGCAAGTCATCAAAGAGCTGCTGAAATGTGCCCCGCGGATGAAGGCTTCTGTCCGAGGAAAGCGCGCGACGATTTGTCGAAAAATAAACAGGCCAGGGGCCTTTGTGGTGATGGGCGCCACTGGAAAATGAGCACCCAAGAATTCTGAGAATCAATATTCGTGAAGTCCAAGCCCTGCCACGGCCCAAATATAGGTCGTTGGGACTGTAGCAATCCAACACCTCCTCGATCCGGGCAATAAGTTGATGTCAGAGGGATTCAGTAGCTGCGAGTGATGTGTTTACTGCTTGTGAATATGGAAACCTGTATACGTGACTGATGCGTAGGTTGCAGCACGCTTGTTTGATGCGTTTCCAGCAGCCTTCGAACTATCTGATAAAGGCGCTCACGTTTGTCACCAGGCGCGTTGGAGAATGGCATGATTCGTAGCAATGGGTTTATCTCTGTCACACCTTCATTCTGTCGTTTTACTTTCTCTCCAAACATAAGTGACGATGAAATCAGTCTCCTTTGTTATATTGTTTTATGATCATGCACAAATACTTGGTCTGGCCTGGTCAACATCCGTTCTTCTCATGGTCTCCGTAATGAGCTATTACCTCCCCAAGCGAGACATCCGTTGGAAGTCGAGAGTGAAATCCGTCCTTGGTTTTTCCGTGGTAAAATCGATGGCTGATACTGTCTTCCGCTGGGGTCTCAGCTGCAAATGTTTGGCTCGGATCAGCAAAGGCGACGCAGGAAAGACGATCTTCGGTTGCAGGGTGTCAACAGCCCGTGTCTATGGAACACAAAAAATCCTGACATACGGCCACCTACGGAACAGGAATGGAATAATAGAACAGAGCAAATGCGTGTTATAGCTAAGACCTTGATGTAGCTATGCCTATCCAGCTGCGGCTTTGTTAACAGCGCGCCATAGCCGGAAGCGTCTCCGCTCCGCCATTGAAACCGAGTCAGTGAAGGATGTTTAGGCGGGAATCTAGCTGGGCACCTCCAGGTTGCGTGGATAGGTCTGGAGTGTGCTGAGCTGGGATCGGTTCGGGACTGGTCCGGCGGGCGTTAGAGGAGCCGGCTTGTTCGCTGAGTGGGGATTGGCTCGGATCTGGCCTGTCGGGATCGTTTCGGACCTGGTCTGTCTGGCGTGGGAGGAGCGGGCTTGTTTGCTGAGCAGGGATCGGTTCGGCCTTGTTCGGCGGGCGTGGGAGGAGCCGGCTTGTTGGCGCAGTTGTGGCGGGTCGATCACTGGCCGGTGTTACGGAGACTGAATGGGCCGTGAACTGATCAGCTGATCGGCGGCAAGACACGCGGGCGGGCGGCCAGCACAGGGACTGGCAGTGCTGCGCCCGGCCGCTCCTGCCCGGCTGCTCCTGCCCGGCCGCTCCAGCCCGGCTGCCCCTGCCCGGCCGCTCCTGCCCGGCCGCTCCGGCCCGGCCGCTCCTGCCCGACTGCTCCAGCCCGTCCAGTCAGATGTCATGCTCGTAGCGGACCATTGTCAGCCGTTGCTCAGTGGACGTCACCGGGTGGAAAAATCGGTGCTTTAGGATTGAGCCAGATGCCGTGTGTTGTTTTCCAGGTAGCCGTGCGCCGTCAGTTGTAGCCGCGCCCTGCACGTTCAGTGTTGTCGATTGAAGGCAGGGCGTCGTACATCGCGCAGCGCCAGCCCCTTTAGCCTGATGATATGAGGAAGAACTGATTTGCAGCGCCAGGCCCTTAAGCCTGATGACATGAGGGACAGCTGATATGCAGCGCCAGCCCCTTCAGCCTGATGACATGAGGGAGAACTGATATGCAGCGCCCAACCAAAAGCGCGACTGAGCGCGTTCATTGGCGGCAGTTACGTGAAAGCGCCGGCTGGTGTGTAATGGTGCGGGATATCGAATTGGCCACGGCGTTGGGTGATGGCGACAGCGGTGGGTTTACAAGTGGGCTGCGGTTGAAATTAGAATGCGGACTAATAGTCGTGATTGGAAGTCCGAGGGGAGTTTGCAATTCATGAGCTCGCTGCTGGGAACCGGCTGACGGCAGGTTCAGTGGCGCGCGTAAAATGTCCTAGCCCCCCCCCCCCCTCCTCCCCCCTCCCCCATCTGGAAATGTTGGCTCCATTTCGTCTGTTTTACGCGCCCCTGTTCGAAGCCAAAAGGGTCCCTCGCAACACCTAGTTAGAGCGGCGCCTCTCTAAGCTCCTTTGAGCGGACGACGTTAAGCCCAGACAGAGAGACACCCCGAACCCAAATAGAAAGCGTCTCAAGGCCGCGCATAATGGGGTTCCCAAGATTTGGTAAAGCTGTGTCCCAAGCTTGGATGGAAAGGCGCCAAGCTCAGTTCGGGGGCGCCACAGACTTCCAAGTGGAGTGGCGCCGCTAGGTTTGGTAGAGGAGCGCCGCAGGGATGTCCCAGCCTGTTGGAAGATAGGGCCTCGAAGCTCAAGCACAGGTGCTCTTCAAATCCTAATAAAGCGCCTCTGAAATTCAGGCCGGAGGAGAAGCACTTCTTTTTAAGTTAGAGGCTGTCGAACATGCAGGAGGATGGAAGCCCCCAAGCCCAACTGCGTGTGTCCAAAGCCCTGGCAGAGGCGCTTTTAGATTCAGGTCGGGGGGGGGGGGGGCACCTCAGGCATAAGAAGCGCTCCCCCCAGTCTGAGTGGATGAGCGCTAGCAGACGCTGGTGGATGCAGAGCTTGTACCCAGATGCATGTGAAAATACTCCAAACTCAGGGAGGGGTACGTTCAAAAGACCAAAGAGACACGCACACCGAGTCTGGTTGGGTTCACCTGATCGTAGATAGGTTGCAAATCCTGGAACCAAGCGTAGGGTTTCACCAAATCTAAGGACAGAGGCAGTCCAAAGTGAAGGCTTCGGCCAAGTTACTGGTCAGATATAACAACAAGGGAACAAAGGTCAGCTATGAAATCAAAATGGATCGCCATTCGTGCAGCTGAAGCTCGTATTCAGATGGCCTTTGTTTCATAGGAAATGGATTACCTGTGTCGTATAACTGAGTTAACTGATGTTTGCGTAATATGCATGATATATGCAGATTACCTTTATCAAATGGAATGTCCCTATTTGCGTGAGGCTACGTATCCAGATTATCTTTATCAACTGAAAGGCTTCTGCTTGTGTGAGGGCTTGAACTGAAATGGCAAGATTGCAGTCCACAAACAGATGTGCACAACCATAAACAAATCAAGGCTTTAACATAAAAAGTGAGTCATTAAGCTGCTTGAATGCAGTAAGCCCACGGGCGCACTCCAAGCCAGCATACTCGACTGCGGGGTAACGTGTCACGTGGCCATACAGCACAGCGCCGATGTGTCCCACCGCCCGGTCTTCAGCCGCTGCTGCGTGTCGATGGTGGTGGGGTGGGAGCAGGATAAAAGACAGGGGGTCGCGTCCAAATCGAAACCGCTCCGCGCTCGCTCGGATACGATACACGTGGTCTGTCGCGCTAGATTTTTAATGTGTTTGTGGACTATTGTGAAAGGTGTTTATCGGTGCACCTTCACCGCGTGTCGTATGCAAACAATGACAAGGTCAGTGTGTACTCAAATTCTTAATATATCTATGATTTCGCAGCATGGGTCGCGGCCTGTCAGCCGACGTGGGGGCGCTGGTGGAAGGGATGGTCGTACGTGACGTCAAACGTTAATTGACACGGCAATGCCGAATGTTTTGTTTCGTGCAAAGTTGTGAGACTTCCAGCTTTACTGAACCAAAACAAAATGGCGTGACCGCGTTCAGCGCGTGCCGTCTAACGTGTTCCCTGTTTGATAGTTGTCAAACGTGAAGCTTCTTTTTTTTTGGCTTGCGGCTATCTTCATTGGACTGCCTATTGATGTCAGTATTGTATTTAATATAGTCACATATTTTGTCGGTGCAGGTGTGCTTCTTCATGCTGCATGCTTTTTGTCCTGTCCTTTCAACATTCCGACGTGGTCGCCAAGGAATGAGGGCTTACAGCAGAACCGCCGGCAGCAGCCGGCGTCTCTTATGCTTTCATAGACACTGGGTCGTTAACAGGAGCTCGGGCGAGGGTTCAGTTTGACCCCCATCCCCGAAGGTGTTCGGGAATGGTTTCCGAACGGCGTGGCATGGCCGTGCCCAATGTTTCATGGCTGCAGATAATTGAATAGCGCATCGCTTGGTATCAAAAATTAGACGTACCTTGCAAGCTCGCCGACCAACGGCATGCGACCTTTCATCCCATGGATTCAGCGAAGACAATGTCTAGGGAATCGTTCAATGGGGTGCAGTGATAGAGCGTTAGATGAAGCTATACTGCTCTGAGATAGCTTTTTAGGCAACGCAACGATTGAATGAACAAATTCCATCGACCCAGGGTCAGGCATTAAGGTCAGATCTAGGTCAAAACAAACTTCATTTATCACTCTAGAGCTTGCTGTTTTGTTTAGAATGAATAAAGGGAACCACATTATGTGTCTTTCATGGACGTTTTTAGGTCGGGATAGGTCACTGACCTGAAATGACACATGTCGACATTTTGTTTTTAGAAACATACTGCCCAGCTTAATCCTTGACGCGTATTCAAATGCAAAACTCAAAAGCAGTTGTGTATGATTTTGGTGACCATGACCTGCGAAAGGTCAAACAGGGTTACTGACGTTAAATCAACACCAGTGACTTTGCTTAGACCGGTTATCCAGGTTTTGGGAACATCATTATGCGTTACCCTCCATGAGCTTTTTTACAAGTACCATTGCGTTAACTTACACTATTATTATCATTCTACTTTCACCCTATTTTCAATATGAAATTTTCACCTTTCATGATACGTTTAGTCGGTGACGCATTCAGGTGGGCTTGATTAGTTTGAACAAGACAGCGAACTTGTAGGGCTGAGGGTCCTCGCGTGACCGCCAGCACTACGATCGTTGCGTGTCTTCCGCTTTACCTGCCACGCCCGAGCGGTCGGCCGCCGCTCAGGATCCCCGTCCACGGCGCGTCCGTGTCTCCCGTGTCTCCCGCCACACGGCCGGGCGTCTCCCGTACCCGCGTCTCCCGCCGCGCGGCCGGGCGTCTCCCGTGTCTCCCGCCGCGCTGCCGAGTGTCTCCCACGTCTCCCGCCGCGCGGCCGAGTGTCCTCCGGGCCTCAGCCGCCCCGCGCGTGTCGGTCGGCTCGAGCTTCGGCCGCCGCGCCTGCGACCGGTGCTGAGCGGCCCGTCGGCCGGCCGCTCAGCACCGTTTACCGCGAGGCGTGGGCGGCCGGCCGGGCCGGATATCGACCTGTCGGCCGGGGCCGCTGCCGCTGCCGGCGCCGGCGGCCCCGGCCGACTGCGGCGCGGCAGGCTCTCTAGGCGACGCGCCGTTTCTGGCGCGCCGCAGCAGGCACCCGCACCCGCGCGGCGCACTGGTCACCGGCAGGTGTACGCGGGCGGGGCTTCTTGCCTCAACACTGGGTGGCGTGGGCGGGGAGGCTGCAGTTGAACCGACATTCAGGCGTGCGAGGCAAGGTGGGACGAGTGAGGGTGATGTGGTAACTCGCGGTCGTAGGCACTTTTGTCTCGGTTTACCGCGAAGCAGGGCGGCTTCTTCCGAACACGCTCCTTTCCTATAGCCGGTTTTCTCTCGGCGCCGTAAATCGGGTGTGGTTTACTGGATGTTGCTGTTGGCTGCTGCCACTTGCAGCCCAGCCAGACATAGCTCCTGTGTGGTCGCCATGAAGTCACGGCCCTTTCCAGGCGCTGAAATCATCTTGTCTGGCAGGTACAACCAGGGCTGGTTCCAGCAGCCGCGCGCGCCCGTGGTGCCGCCGGTGGCGCGCGAACCGGACCAGCTCTTCCCTCCGCCCAGGGACGCCGAAGAGCACCACCAACATGACGATGACGACGAGCCAGACGATGGACGCCTGAGGGTCAGCGCTGAGCTGCGCGAGGTCAGTGACCCAACGCTGCGAGGTCAGCGACCTTGCGCCACGATTTCAGTGACCCGGCGCCGTGAAGTCAGTGAGGTTTCCGGCCTCTCTCCCGGCCGGTCGAGCCGCTTGCGGGGCAGGGTCGTGAGATTCACGTGGATGACTGTGCCGGTTGCGCCACAGATGCTTGTAGAAATCGTGGGCTGCGTTGAGGTCGTTGAGATTCTCACGAGTTGCGGCAGATCGTAGTCGGTGCTCAGGGCTGACAAGCATTTTGAGTCGTGTACGGTTGCCGTTTGCGCCCCGAATTCCTTCGCGTGTTGGCCATGTGACGGATGCGCTTGCGGCATGGCCGCGGCCCCATACTGGAGTACCGAGTTCATCGGCGCGCCACGGGACACGGCGCGTTAGCTCGACTGACGTGACCTGACCGAGCATGACCTGATCCGCCGCCAGGTGTTGCAACAGATGGGCGTGGAGCCGCCGCTGGTGAGGCCGCCGCACCCGCTGACGCTCGCCTGGACCTTCTTCACGTCGTTCTTCGCCTCGCTGGTGCCCGAGCGGATAGATTAGCCCGCGCTTCGGCTTCTAGCCCGTCAGCATGCCACCAATTACGTGTAAATCCTCCGTGTAACCGGCGTAGACTAGTCCGACGACGAGTAGACTAGCTCGGATTAATCGTTTATCAAGGATCTGTGTCATGGTATTCAGTGTGCTAATCGGTGTCGATTGGGCGGGTCCGCGGCGCCCCGCTCGGGGTCACGTGGCTCCGAGCAGCTCGCGGGGGAAATCTGAGCGGGTCGGATGACGACCGTCGCTCGGCCCGTATTGGGCTCATCTATTTTTGTGAGACGGTCGTAGGTTGACGGGATCGCGCTCCGACGATTGGCGCCGTGATGGTTGGGTTGCGCGCCCGCCGGCGCTGCACGCGGCGGCGTCGCCAGCGCCCGCCACACGCCGCGCGCGGTTTGCTTTCGTGCGCTGGTGCCGTGCGGCGGCGTTCTGGCCCGCCTCCCGCCCGTCGCCATCGCTGCGCCGCTAGATTCGGCGCCGCTTGTCCCTGTTCGGTGAGGCCCGAGTTCGGTGTGGAGTGTGGGCTCTCGCCGTGGTGGGAGTGCGGTGCGGGACGTGCACAGTGTAGCCCGTTCAATACACCACCTCTGCTGTGTGTCGCTATGTTCTGGGGCGGCTGCGGTGGCGACGACCGCCAGTGTTTGGTCCCGAGGTTGGGACTGGAGCACGGTCTTGTGACAATCGTGTGGCCAGATTATTGGCGCCAGCAAGAAACAGCTGGCAGAAGACTTTTCAGCAGGGGGAACAATGCAGGGCTGGGGATAAGAAGCGGGTATGGAGCGCTGTTTGCCAGGTGTTCTCCACGGCGTCGGTTGATGGGAGAGATGGTGGCCGCGGTCTGCGCGGCGACAGATGCATCTGCGCAAGTGTTCCTGAGACCTATTCCGAGCACAATGACCCGCTCAGTTTTTGTGGGCATAAGTACGTGGCATGTGAGCAGTGGCGTCCGCCGCACCGGTGGTGTTGGTTTTGGTGAAAATAGTTCGCTAAATGCGTTGCCGTAATTTCAGTCACGCAATAATCACGCCGAGTCCATCAAACATGGCTTCGGCCAGTGTGCTGCACGGAAGTGTCGTCTTAAGGACGAACTTAAAACAAGTGCATATTGCCATGGATACGTAACGAATGCTTTGATGTTTGTGAGGTGCGCGTGCCACGCCATCACGTTCCGGCGGTGTGGCTTAGCGCAGGTGGCGCGGCGTGCCGCGGTGGACGGTCGGTTGCCAATGACACCGCTTGAACTCGCAAGTCAATAACCCGGCGCAGGCACATCATAGTTCGCCAAATCAGCCGCGGTCGCTGGCGTGGTTCCGTGCCTCCGTATCGCATCGACGCCTGGCGTATTCGCCACTCCATCGGCAATCAACACGGAGCTGTCTTGCCTCCCACGCCTCCACGCTGGCAGAGCCTCTGCCCGGGGTGCGGGAGACTCCCGCCGTCCCTCGGCGAGGCTACCGGCGCTCGCGCCCTGGCATTCAGCCGCTCAATCAGCTGGCGGTGCCAGCAGCTGACTGCAGCGGCGCCCCAAGGGAGCGGATCGGTCGACGCGGTCAGCTTCGGACGCCGGCCGGCCGCGTCAGTCGATTGACGATAACGAGGGGATTGACGCCGGCTGGCGAACGCGCTGAGCCGCGCGAGCGCGGGCGGGCCGCTGAGCGAGGAGGGGGCGGGGCTTCTCCGCGCAAGAGGCCCGCTGGTGATCGCTAGGCTTAAGTTGCGCTCTCAGCGTTTTCGCAGGGCTTGAGGACTGGGGAAATTTGAATAATGGATGCTTCTGATACGCTGCGTCGTTTTTTACCATTGGTAAAATAGCGAGAGATATGCGTTGGGGTACACAACATTTCTAGGAATCGGCGTCAGCGCCAACGGCGGCCACGAGAAATCGTGTTGATGCCTTGGAAAGGAATGTCTCGTCTGCAATATGTTTTCATGCCAGCAGCACGTGGCGTAATTGACGAAGCGGCGCCGCTGGGTGCGGAATGGTGGAGGCAATCTGCGGAACGCTTTGTTGCGCATTTCCGTTTCAGAAATTGTATTATTTGCGCCAGACCCCGTGCGACGTAGGCAATGCAAAAGGCTGGCAACGCCGTCATCATCTTAAGCTGTTTGTGAAGATGGCGAAGACCAGTACGGAAAGTGCACTATTTAGGTCTCGCGAACAAAGATGCGTGTGTTTAGATCTTGAACCGTTTTTGCTCGTCACGTAACGGTATACTTGGTTTGGGTCCTGGGTCCTCCTGACGTGATTCTGTCACATAACAGTGCAGTCAGAACGACGCTTACGTGAAGAGACATCTCGTGGCTTTGGCCGCTGCGGCAAAAAATGTGACCACAAGAGATCACAGAAGACAACATCGACATTGGTACAGACAATAGTGATACGTGATGCTGGATAAGCAAGCTAAACTGACATGTTGAAACCGAGCTAGACCTTTTTTAGTCAAATGTACACACCAATTGAATCCAAGTTGAAAGGTAAAAGAAAAAAGGCGAACGAACCAGGATTGAGGTGATGCCAGGTGACGTCAAAACCTTGTGCAAGGTTACGTTATGAACTCAGCGACCTACGATGTTGTAGCTAGCACGGTTGGACTCCGCATTCTGGCACTCTTTGACAAGGCGTCATTTATACCTGTTGTGCAGGGTTATAACATGACCCGGCCTGCCTGCAACTCCGGTCGGTCGCCTTTATTCTAAGATCTAAGTTTTAGATCGGCTTCAACAATTCAGCTTACCGCCATTGTCTAGCATTACATGTTACGATCGCCGGATACCGATTATCGCTTTTGCTCTCGGTGACCTCTGGAAGTCAAAGTTTGTGGTGTCTGCGAAAAGCCGGGAAATCTGTTTGTTATCTGAATGTTCGACATTTGAATTGGTTTAACAAAGTAGAAGGGGTCAGGATTTCCAGGTCGTAGTGCCCCATGTTGAGCTCAATAGGGATTAGCGTATCACGCCAGACACTGATATCGTCCAGGCATTTACGGGTTTATATTTTGAACAAACCGTAATTTGATGTTGCAGTTGGCACCATTCAAGTCACCACTACATGTTTGATCCATGAATGTTCATGTGTGCTTCTCCGCGCAAGGTGATCACGGGATCCGACATGATCGCAATCCTGGTCTGGTCACCTTCCTCTTTCACCTTGAAACTTTGATGCCATGGTTGGGTTTTGACTAAAAGAGTTTTAAATCGGTTTGAACATTTCAGTTTCCCCCGCTTGTTCAGCATCTTGTATTATATTGACCCCTGCCTTGTACCGATCTGGTATTTGATGACCTCTATAGGTCATAGATTTTGATCCCCCACAAATATCCGAGTTTCTCTCGTCATATGGAATGCTCTTCACTTGTACCCATTTTAAAGAAAATAGGACCCGGGGTATTCCATGTCGTAGGGTATCCCGTTGGAAGCAGCGGGTCTACTTCATTGGGTCAGAAAGAGTTTGATCAAAAACAGAAATTTGCAGACATTTATGAGTAACAGAATTAGCACGATTCCATTCGACTCTGCACTGCATACACTCTCAGAAAAGGAAGGTGTCATTTACGCTTCCTTGCAGTGGAGGGTTACCACTTTACCTGACAAGATCTTACCCCTGTTTTGGTCGCCTTACTTCTCACACCTGAAAACGTTGATGCAATTGGTATGCACATTTGACTTCAAGCAGTCTTAGATCGGTTTCAACCCGTCGTTTTGCGCTGCTTATTCAGCATTATCATCATGTCCATCCATATGTTACAGATGTCCATGTCGAATATCGATCTGTATTCGATGACCTATGGAGCCCACAGTTTGTGTTGCCCCTGAAAACGCCAAGAGATGCCCTTGTTATCTTGGGTGTTCTACCCTAGTAGCGACTTAAGATAAATCGAAGGGTTGGGCTTTTCCATTTCGCTGAGTTTTGTGCTGAAGTCAGTGGGAAAAATGTAGTATGCAAAAAAAGATAAGATTATCAACTTAAAAAACGGCAGATTCTTTCAACCTGTATGGGTTAGGATTATTTTGAGTGCATTTTCGGAGTCTGTATATCATTCCAAATCGGATAGTATATAGCACGCATCACGTCTGTCGACATAAAGCGGCTGATCGTTTATGCCTCTGGAATTCGAACCGCTCAGCATCCATGAATAGATGTCCGTCAAATCAGCGTCTTATTCGACGGACGTAACAAAAAGCCTGTACGTAAGGCACCAGCGCATCTTGTGCTGTCGTTGGCACCAGTTTCGTTAAAAGCGAAGGGCTCGTCGATTTCCGCCGAATGCGGATACCGAACTGCTGCTGACTTGACACGTTTTGCATTTTGTGTATTTCTTCTCGCGGTTATTGTTTACGCTGTATGGAGCAGAGCGTTTTCATTGTTCGTTTAATGGAACGACGAAAGGAGTCAGCGTCTAGCAAGGTAAGACAAAAGTTCTTCGCCGTCATATCTATTGAGAATTCTTAGAACGTCTACATCCCCGATACCATCTGAAGTGTCTACACACATACCTGTACTTGCCGACGTCAAGAGTTGGGCAAGCGCTGCTTATAACTAGCCCAATTTTACCCGTAAATTAATGTTACGTGAAAGCATGCCAGTTCGTTATGATCTTCCACCTTCCTTGGAAGCTATAAATCATTAGCATTACAGCGATGTAAGGGAAAAGATGAAATCGAAAAAGGGATTTATGTTCCCCTCTTCCTCATTTTTTGCGGATTTCGTACGTCCTCGATTCACAGCGATGGCTTTTTGACATATTCGTCTAATGCGATAATGGGTTTGCTCGGGCAAAATAATCGACTTAGATCTCTCCCAGTGCGATATCAATGTCATCCACATTATAAAGCGCGTTTGTCATTTGTGAGACCAGTGATGTTTGTGAGACTCGAAATTTGTTCGTCGCGATTTAAGTCTGCGTATTTATTCGGTGGAAGTGGTACTGAATCGATGGAGTTTTCATATATTAATTTGCGTGCCCAATTTACACATCGAACACAACGGAATTGGTGACGGACAATTGATTAGCTTGGCTTGGATACGCTAGGAAGTTCTAACGTCTGCGGAGACGTTCTAACGTGAAGACAACGCCTGCTTAATGGCCCATCTTTTTTTCTCTAGCCATGACAGGTTCCCACATAGCAGCAGCAATGCGACTGGGCACATTCCACCTCGATAACGGAGTCACGTCCCTGGCACACACGCGAGGTACACTACAAAATACTGATATATGTATGCCTCACAGCGCTACCCGCGCACCCCGAGGTATCACCCAGGCGAGGCTCGCGCCTCTCCGGCTGGTGTGTCGAGCCCACCTCCCAGACCGCACACACCTCCCCAGCCCGATACTGAAGCCCGCCTCGCGCAGTCAACCGCGGCCCCCCTGTGACGTCAGAGCTACTGCGTGACGTCATAGCGCGGCGCGGCGTCCGGCTGTATGGAGATGAGCTCGGCGGTGGCGGGGACCTTGGTCTGCACTGGACTGGGCGGGGTGGCGGTCGCGACGAACATCGGCTCGCCACGGGCCGCGCGCCGCTCTCGCCGGCCGCACAAGTTTGATTTGATCTGCGGGCGAGGAACACCGTCAGCGTTGGGAAGAGGGGGGGGGGGGGGAGCGGCCCAAAAAAGACGGTGGGTAGGTCGTTTTGACGCCCATACTCTGCGTGCATCAACACGGTAGAAAATGTCGACCTTTATGAAAGTGGGAAACATAGGGGTGGCGTTCAGACGGCCTTTACTTTATCCGGTCAGGCTTGTACGCATGGGTCACGGGTCACAGCAATGCCCATTCATTCCCACCACTTAACCCAAATGCGTTCCACACACATGTGACCCACCCACCTTTTCCCATGAGCTTTGCCCTTTTCCAGTTTTTGTTTTGTCTGGGCGTGTTGGAAGAATTGGGAAAACGATGCAGGGTTGCTTCACAAATCGTTGGTTCGCTGACTTAAGGAGACTTATTATCAACAACAAATAATGTCACTAATATACTGAGCGATTCCTGACGGTATCCAGATATTTCCCAAGTCCCTCCGTTCACCACACCGTTGACCAAACTTTCCCAAAATGTCCACCCGACTCAGCGCCGTGGTCTGGCCGTCTCGGGCCATTTCCTCTCTACCCATGTGACAAGGAATCCAGAGGGAGATGTGCAACCAGCGACGGACCAAGTCGAGCGGACGTGGCGAGGTAGTCGTTTCGCGGCACACGATATAAAATGTTTCCCATTTTGCTGGGGGTAAATCGGTAAGCTCTGGGTGCCAGCATGCACAGCACCGGTCATGCTGGATGAACCCGTAGGTCATCAGCCTGTGCTGTTTGTCCCGGCGCAAGATCGCGTGTGGATAGCGCTGATCAGTGCCCTCACTATGTTTTGGAATGTTTTTATGTGCTTGAAAGCGGCATCAGAACTGTACAGCGTTCCAAAATCAGGAATGCACAAGCCGGCCAACCTCTGGGATGCTTCGCCTGGTTTGGCCGCTGGCTGACACCACTTTCCATCTCTGAAGTGATCCCGCAGGATTCGGTAAGCTCGATTACGGAAGATCGTGTGAATGGACAAGTTGAGAATAAGTTATTGGGGGTTTGACGTGCTGACATAGAGCTTCCATATCCGTGCTGCCCTCGTAAACGAACCCGCTGTGTAGGTGACCTTGTCGTGCGAGTGGTTAACTGCCAAACAAGCCACCTCCCAAGGGACAGTCACAAGCATTGGGGGCCGGTCACGTCATCCGATAAAGATGAGTTAAGCAGGATATGCCGGACAGCTGGATTGGATTTGGACGTAACTGAGCTAAAGCAAATTAAATGGCTATTGACTGACAGAAACTTCGATCAATACGAGAGCTGTCCGTGAGGCCCGCGGCTTGAAGAGCTACCGTGACAGGCAGCCCAGTCCGGACCTTCAGCGCTGTCACTCAGTATGGACCAGACACATTTCAAGACAATTTACGTGCTTGCTCGCCTCGTTCTGATTGCAGCGTTTTGCAACAGGGCGATGACCGAACAGCAGGCCACGCGACTTCATGTTGTCCACGTGACTTTGTTGGCCTAGCCACGCGGTTCGTCACGTGATAACGACCGGAAGAGGACGTCTGCGCACAACCGCTAGGTGGTGTTGCTCGACGCTGGGGTATTCTCGGCACCTCCAGCTGAACAGTTTGCTCGAGCGTGCCCTAAGTAAGGGTAGAGAGTGTCGCCATTCCCGTCGAACATCTGGGTTCGTTGACTGCTCAGGAGACATTTGGAAGCTTTAAGCTATCGATCCTTAAGTTACCTGAAGTAGGGGCGAGGACTGAGCGTGAAATCGACGCGAGGGACACGAAATCAGCAATATAGGGTTGCACGCAATCCGATGCGCAATTATTTTTGGTAGGTGTTTATCAGATTGCATGTCGTGACTTACTTTTTATGTCTACCAGTATTCTTTTCCCACCAAAAATTAGATTTACAAGAGTGATGTCCAAAACTTTGCAACAATTAGTCAGCGTGAATACTTATGACCTAATCCGACCCGCGAGGATTTGCTCTGCCAGACACCGCTCCAACTCACTCGCTCAAACCATGCTGGTTTATTACATACACAATATCATTATACGTATACATCTCCCGGGGCGGCGGCGGAGCTCATTACCACTGAGCTTCCAGTAGAGCTTGGTAGAAGGACAGGACGGTGACTTTCGGGAACTGCCCCGAGCCGTCAGCCTTAGGCTAGGTGGGGTACCAACATTTCAGCCATTTCCAGCGGCTCAAGGGGAGGACGGGCGACATACAGAACGCTTACCTTGCCAGTCGGGAGCTAGCATCCGACTGACCCCTCGTCCGCGTCCCGTGCCTGACCTCGTCCGTGCCCCACCGAGGGTCGCCGCTGATTGGGCCAGAGGCCGAGGCCACGTGGCTTCGACTAGCCTGCAGTTCCGTCGGACGGGGCGCGGCCGTGATAAGCGGGGCGGTGTGCGGTGCCTGGCGCGGGCACGCCGCCCACAATAGCGCACATGGGCACCGCGCCGCACTCTGGTTTAACAGAGGTGACATCGTGCCAGCAGCTTGCACAAAAAGTTGTCTTGTATTCTCCACCCATTACTCTTTTTCTGGGATTACAGGAAAATTTTGGTTGCATCCTTCCCAGCCGATGGCCTTTCAGAGGCAATGTAGTGAGTGCGTGAAAATAGATAATTTTACCTGGTGTACATTGGCGCGTAATGGGTATAGAGAACGAAGATAGTGTACGTAAATATTTACACAATATTAGGTATTGCACGTTTATGAACTGAAAATACTGCTCTTCGCCTTCTGGTTTTTTAACTACTCGCCGAAGAATTTACATAAATTGACGCTCACGTTTCAACGGGTAGGGCAGCATTAAAGAAGCTCGGATAGGTAGGTGACGGCACTCACATAAACTCATCGTTTTAGATATGATCATTCCCAGAGCCTTCTCCTATCGCACCACTGTGTACTAAGTAGGTCCCCGCCCCTATCCGGTGTCCATCGCTGCCCAGTTGGTACTCAGCACTCGTCGCAGCTCAATACTCTGCTCTCAGCATACACTCAGCACTATCGTTGCGTTACTGACCTCCAGCATGAGGCAGACAGCGATGAGGGTGCCCGCAGCGCCGATGCAGGCAGCAGCCAGTGCCGCCAGCTGAGCGGCCGTGACGTCAGTGGCTGACGTCACCAGCGCCAGCCGCGGCGGCAGCAGCAGCAGCAGCAGCAGGAACGCGCCGGCCGACGCCAGCAGCAGCAGGGAGAGGATGAGAAGCGGCCGCAGCCAGCCGGCGCAGTAGAGATGCCGGCGTCGGCCGCGGCCGCGGCGCCGCGCCAGCTCTTTCTCGAACTCCTAGGGAAGGTAACATGAGCTCTGAAGGTGCCGAAGTGACATTAGCGGACACGACGGTGTGGGGGAGTGAGGGTGCGCGTAGAGACGGTGATTTACGTTGCTTGAAGTTGTTAGGGACGGTGGGGACGGTGATTCGCGCGATTGAAGGTTTTATTCGAGTTCGGCGACTAGCACATCATGATGGAAGGGTGTGAAGAAACTTGGACGGTGAAATATCAGAACTCGCCTCACAACATTTCCCTGCCACCAAAGCGCGGAGATAGAGTTGGTGACGGCTTATATTTAGATGTGTTGCATCCGCTCAAACTCCTACAGCCTGCCTTTGCGTGACAACAGCAGAGAATCCAGTAAATAACATAGTTTTTACAGCAAGAATCACCAGAGCTAGTTTGCATTGCTAACCTGTCTCACACCACTTTGGATGCAGTTGTAAAACCCGGAGTCAATTGAGTGGTGAAGGAATGAATACGGCTCTAGACGGAGTTGCGGGGTCGTATGAAATGACTGCATTACGCGTTTCCACCTCGACAGTAACCAGATGGTCAGAATCAATGTTTCCAGTCGCTGAATGAGCAAACACATAATCAGAGCGCTCCCACCAGGTGGCATTAAACTTTACGTGCTTCCATCAGGCCTTGACATTTCAGTGGTGCAAGAGACGGGCAGGCAGGCAGGTGGTACATCGTTGCCATGGATATGAAATAAAGGCAAACGGATTTTCCAACCATCGTTGTCAACTAAGCCTGATCATTTGCCTGCCTAATTACACGGCTACAAGCCGGTACCGAGTTGGTTCCCTGACCATATGCATTACCGTCTTCCGTATCATGCTGATGTTACAAAAGATGGCTGGATTAAAGGAACCTCAAGGAGCCAATAGTCTTTTCGGTGCAATCCGAACGGCACTGGAATGAATCGAAACGTTTTATAACCGTGATTCAACTGGGAGTGTCTTAATAAGTAAATAATGCATTTATACCCAGTATTACTTGCCCAAGCCGCTTAAATATGGCTTCCATTACTTGCTGGCTGGTAGGTATCCAAGCAAAATTATACGATCCATCAAGTGGCGATCAATTAAAGAGCCGCTTGGGCGGCACGTTTCATACCTGAAGCACAGGCTTATCGCGGCATCATCACTGCTTTCAGGCAACCAACAGATGCAGCATTATGAGTTGAAGCTTTTATGTTGAGTTAAAGATCTTAAATATACCAGGAAGCACCAGTCAAACTCGTTGTAGCGCTAAACAACGATTACGCTGACGGTGCTCAATATTTGAGCAGTGCCCATCATCATCCTTAAGGATGACCAAAGCTCAAAATATTGAATGTCGTTAATTTAATCATTACTTAGCATTACAACGTTGTGTTACCAGTACCTCCTGGTAAAGCAAAGGTTGTTGACTATACATAATATCTTTGAACTCATAATGTCGAAAAGCAGGAGCTGAAGGACTTTCTTATATCATGTATGACAGATAATGACGCGATTCAGGTGACATGTAGCCCCTGCAGTCTGTCTGAGTGCATCAGGCCAGTCACATCGGTGTCTCTTCATGAGTCGGATCAATTCCGCTGTTTTCAGACACTAATTCATCATTGGTTATGTAACTAAGAACGCACTGCGTAGAAGTAAAGCAGTTGCTTAAACAAAAACGTTTTCGGTGCGGGCATCATATGTTTAGAACCTTGGACTGGTAGCAATATAGATTTTTATCTCAGGGGCTTGGGTACGTCTCAAATTTGAGCGGGAGAAGCCTTTTTTAAATAAATTGTTTCCATGCATCAAAGCGGAGTCCATGCCAAACTTGTGTGGAAGTGGGTTTGCAGTGGCCTACCAGACCCCATCCATTTCCAGCTTGCATGCCTATGGTTTATCCAGCTCCGAAAGCTGGCAGCAGATACCTCGTCCTCGTAGAGGTCCAGGTCGACCGACTCGGGCCCATCGTAGAACTGGTGCAGGTAGCTCTTGACGCCAAACTCACAGTTGCCGTTGACCTCTCTTTCCTTCCAGCTGGGCGGTTTGGGGTTCGCCTTCAGCTGCGTCATTTGGCCCGGCTGGCGGGGTCGGGGCCGTGCCCGCCCTGCAGACACGACAGAGGTCATCGGAGCAGTGTCGCAGGCACACGACGGGTCACACGCCGGGTAGTCAGCCAGCGGCCAGTTTTCGTCACCGGCGGCAGCCGCGGTCACCGGCGCAGCGTGCTCGCACGCGAGGGGCCTCCCATTGGTGATGCATAGAGCAGCCGAAGGTCAAACTCGGGCCTGGCCCATCTAATCATTGAACCCGCGGGCAGGGACGGGGCGTTATCATGATCCGACGCCAGGGCATCTGACCGATGAGTTGAGGTGGTCCAAGCTGGGTTCTGGACGGTAGACCGCCGATTTGGGGATTTTGACCGTAGTCCAAGAGGGCGCCTATTGCCGCCAGGGGGCCACGCCTGCTCAGCCCGCCCGGTGGTGACGGCCCTTGCATTGGATGTTCTGTGACACGGGGGTCATCATTGGAGGATGAGGTTACCAATAACGTGGAGTGGGACAGAGACGGGAAGAGCTAAATACGTCACCGCATAACTTTCTGCTACAGTTCTGAAATTACATTAGGAAAGGGCATTATTGGAGCTGAGTTCAAAGCACGGCAAAGACCATGTTATTTGGTGAGCATTAGTTTGTCGGTGTAGCACGCATCACCTCTACACACTTCAAGGTGTGGTCTCTAAGCTGCACAGCATACAAGCCTATCAAGTCAGCAATGAACAAAAGTGGGCCGAAGGACATCATTATGGATGGAGCAGCCAGCCTGGCAGACGCACTGAAGGCGTTCTTATCCTGCCGTTGCCAGTCTGTATTGGCAGCGGTTTCCCTGGAAATGACAGCGCCGCTTGGCCCGCGCTTGGCCCGGGCCCGCGATTGGCCTGCGCTCGGCCCGTGTTTGGCCCGTGTTTGGCCTGAGCTTGGCCCGAGCTTGGCCGTGTTTGGCTCGCGCTTGGACCGCGCTCGGCCCGTGTTTGGCCCGCGCTTGGCCCGCGCTTGGCCGTGTTTGGCCCGCGCTTGGCCCGCGCTTGGCCGTGTTTGGCCCGCGCTTGGCCCGCGCTTGGCCGTGTTTGGCCCGCAATCGGCCCGCGCTTGGCCTGCGCTCGGCCCGTGTTTGGCCCGCGCTTGGCCCGCGCTTGGCCGTGTTTGGCCCGCGCTTGGCCAGCGCCATTTCTCAGGGGTGTGTGCCGGGGCCAGCGGGGCCTGTTTGACCTCCCGTCCGCATCTGCCGCTGTTTGTTCCGCTGCAGCACGTGTGCAAGGGTCGACTCGTGGAACTCCTATCTGATTGATCAGGTTCGGGCGCTTCATACCATTCGCCCTGTTTGGGCATTGTTCGCCATCGCCGTGGTACGGCTGTTCCAGTTAGCAGGGCGGTGGGTGGCTGTCGTCTCGCCGTGATGGGCGGACGCATGGGTTCTTGGCATATCTACACGATGGTCCCATTCCCACTGAAGGCGATCAATGCTCTAAGGGGAGGGAGGCATTTATCACAGGCGGTCATCACACGGTGAAGCACGTTAAGTCCACAGTGCAATCGGGCGACCAGGATAGACGGTGAAGCACGTTAAGTCCACAGTGCAATCGGGCGAACAGGATAGGGTAAAGTTAGTCTACAGTTGGAGCTACTCGGATCTCAATCGATCCGAACGCAATGATCTCAACGTGATCATTGTGATCACGTTGATCTCGTGATCTCAACTGTTCTGATCAACTGATCTGATCTCGTGACCGTGATCTCAACGCAACATTGTGTTCTTCGCGGGGCTATGGTTGGTACCACTGCTGGAAATGATGCCGATTTGCTGTAAGCCGTATGACTAATTTGCTCGAGTGGCGTTGAATGCGTGGTTTGCTGCATAAATACCGACCAAGTCACCCAAGGCGCCTAAACGATGGGATCAATATGGCAGGGGAAGTATTTTCTGGTTACTCGTGATCGTAGTACGTCTTGAAACGTCGAGTGCAAATAATACATTCAACGTTTGCTCTGTAGCATGGTTTGACCGTGCCTTTAAGTTAATGAAGGCCGATGACTCAGGATAAAGCTCAGCTCAAAGTGTCATTATTTGCGCCAAATCGTCGACCGGCTCTAGCCTGGCACCTGGTTGTCTGTTTTTGCGTAACAGCTGAAATACGCAGGCAAGACAGCTACGATCCTGGTGAGAGTGGGGGTAGCATGAGCGACGTTGGTTCAGGTCAGGAACTATGATGAGTAAATGAATAGCAATGGAGAACGTGTAGCTCACGCGGCTTATCCCCCAAACATGCCAAGCACTGACATCGGGCTTATCGCGGTATTTGACCACAAAAGCAGAATGAATGGGTTGGCTTTGCACTATATTGCCTCAGAAAAATTTTCACATCGACACAGGCACGCACACACACATATATATATATATATATATATATATATATATATATATATATATATGTGTGTGTGTGTGTGTGTGTGTGTGTGTGTGTGTGTGTGTGTGTGTGTGCGCGTGCGTGCGTGGTGCGTGCGTGCGTGCTTGCGTGCGTGCGTGCTTGCGTGCTTGCGTGCGTGCGT